AACACAACGACGGGTGTTGCATACAAATGCATACAAATATACACAAGCATAAAGGTAAGTTGCGTATCCTTTACAGGGCGTTGCAGAACCAACCCAACAGCCCCTGGCTGTTGCGTGGTTTCTCTAAGCAAATTTACGTCCAGTAGTTTGCCATTGCTTTCTTGAAGGTCGGCTTTCTTGATACCACTGTCGCACATGCATATACATACATAATAATACATACATTCATAATATACACTACATAGATACATGCACACACACACACATACATTCATACACACTCAGCCATACCTACATTCATTACATATGAACACGCGCGCATACACGTATATACGAGTAATACATACATATATTCACACTATCATACACGCACACGCAATCATACACACATACATATGCATGCAAGACACATACACATGCATACCCAGACAGTCACACATGCATACCTAAACACACACACATGCATACCCAGACACACACATATGCATACCCACACACACACACACACACACACACACACACACATGCATACCCACATACACATGCATGCAACACACACACACACATATGAATACCCAGACACACACACATACATACCCAGACACACACACACATGCATAGCCAGACAGTCACACATATCCGAACAGACTCATATATACTCATACACACCAAGGTCGCATTTATTCTTCCTAAGATAAGGCGAGTATCCACACCAGTGCGCTCCTCTGCTCAAAGCCGTTGGAGCTAGGTGGGATGTAAGGTTTGGTATACGACGCCCAACATTTGGTGTTAACCGAAAACTATGGTAAAGCGCAACAAATAGCGCGCCAGTCTCATAATCAAGTAACACATGTAAGCGATTCAAAGATCGTTATTTCGATCCTCACCTGGGAAAATTTTTTTTAGGGTTTCCGCCGGCGAAGTGGTCAAAGCGTTCGCCTGAAGGTTGTGGATTCGTTGATGTTCAGATCTGTTAAGATGTCAGTCTGACAAATACCTGACACAAATTCTAAAAATACACACGAAACAAAAAGACGCTTAGTTTACCTGCACACAATTAATCAAAGTCATCAATTTTCCATCGGTGTCCACGTTCTAGGATAGTAAAGATCATCTCTAAACCAGTTTCCTAGAACGGAATCCTTTCTCATATACCCAGGATAGTATATGACATGTCCATTTGCCAGCCATAAACTCCAATATCCAAAAGTCCCGCCAGATATTATAACGTGATCACATTTGGATAACACGGCCATATGAACAGCTGCTGTCGCTGGAGGCATGAAAGAAACATCTTTACCTGACAACTTTTTATAGCACCAGGGGAGATCATCGCTGGCAACTAAGAACGTGATGTTTCTTCCCGGAAACTTTGATTTTATCAGACTGAAAGCTTTCATGAAATAAGATTTTTCAGAAACTCCGTAACCTATCTTCGAGAAAGTCTGTGCGACGTACATGCACTCCTACAATCATTGATGCGTTGTATTTCACATAAGGTCGCGAAGAATCAAGGAAGCGGCGTTAGCGATAGGATCATGGAAAGTAAACTCTTGCCATATCATACAAAGCATACATACAAACAGAAGAAGGACGTGGAGCACGAGGTAGACCAAGAACAAGATGGAAGGATAACATAAGGATAACACCAAATTTGGCCTGGGCAGTGCTGTTAGGTTCCTCTTTTTAGATTTCCAACCACCAAGGAGATTTTTCCAATGATATTTCTATTTGTTTTTATCCATGCAATAATACACACGGGCGTTCGGTCGTGGGCACTGTTTTCAGGCGACTCATCTCGGTGGCGTGGTCTGTCCGATCACTCCCAATAGAGTCGTGCATTCGCGCACTGATCGTGGTGTAGCTTGGAGAGGCACAGGAAAGAGCTTGTTGGTTCGAATCCAGTTAATGCCCCGAACAACTGGAAGGCCAACGTGTGAGTTGGGATTTTAAATCAATACAGCTTGCTGGGGAGAGGGTGTGTCATTCGAATCACCTCTAGTGTTTACTTTCTACTGTTTTTGTAACTATACTGAAGGCTGATGTGTGTATTCTGACGAAGTCGAATTGGCTTGTTTTAAAGATAAATACCATTGTCACAGAACCATCGCCATTAAGGCCATGGGTAGGTTTGTGACATACATTATAAATAAACTAATGACATTTTTTTAAGTCGCAAAGGCTATATACAAACCGTCGGCTCTGTGGCTAAGTCGATGCGAACGCTTCGCTTCGTAATGCCGGGATGCCAGGTTTGATCCCAGCTGCGTGCAATGCGCCTTGCGTTGGTTTCGACAGTGGTATCAAGAACGCCGACCGTCCAGAGCAATGGCAAACTACTGTATGTAAATTGCCTAGAGAAACCACACAACAGCCATGGGCTGTTAGGGTTGGTTCTGCAACGTCCTGTAAAGGATACGCAACTAATTTTTTTTTTATATACAAACCAGCTCAGAGGCCCAAATAATTGGAAGCTTTTTAATGGAAACAAAAGTACAAATACAACATTGGTACCCATTACCAAAAATACAAATATAATTTAAGGAAATGTCTAGATACAATATGCGCACAAGAATTCTTGCTGTTATAAGTGTCCCTTAGACTTCACACGTCCTTATACTTTTATAATTTAATATTCCACAGGCGCTACTATAGTAATTAACACCACGAATTCCTTTGATCTTTGTTTGATAATTATTTTCTGTACCCCTAAACAACTGAATGTACAGTAATTGATGTGTGGCGATTATTTTGATAGTCTATCCCACATAAAATGAAAAATCGGAAACTAGTGAAAAGCTTTTGTTGGGGATGACGGCATATTAGTAAATTGCAATATTGTTTATTATTGCTGTTAAAAACACAAAAACTTTACGCATACTATTTGTTTGTTTGAATCAGTATTTAACCCCCTCTCCATCTTCCCCCTCCCTCACATGCCTGTGGCAGAACTTTTGAAACGGACTATAGCGCAGCCGCTAGTAAGCGTGCAGGTTAGGATTCGCACTCCAAAAAAAAAAAAAAAAAAAAAAAAAAAAAAAAGACAATAGAAAAACTAGATATTTCTGTAAATTAACAACAACAACATTGTTACAAGAATATGAATTGATATTGCCATGTTGCGAGTTGCTTAATTGCTTAATAACATTTCGGTTTAATTATTCCCTTTTGCCTCTCTTCATTCACCTCCAACTGTCACGTTTCATACGTACTCCGCTTAGACACAGTCAGTTGTCATAGGCCTGTATGCAAGACTTGTCTGTGGTCTAGGCGGACAGTCTGGAGTTTCCTAATGCTACTTAACTTAATATACATGACTTTTTTTTATTATTATATTGCACTAGAAGCAATTTCCTTTACGCTATTATCTGCAAAGGATGGGGTGTGAAATATATAGGTGAAACGGCACTACGAATAGATGAAAGGTTCAGGCAAAAGCTTTTGGATGTGCAAACAGTGTCCTTAAATCAACTGCTGTACTTCAATTGTCGGGATAACCAAGGTGTCTGCGACGTGGAGGTTACAGCCATCAAATCTATCCACTCCAATGTCAGAGCTCGTAGGTTTCCTGAGAACGCGCCTTATCTTTCTGATGGGCGCTCTATTACCTAGGGGACTTAGCTTTCAACAGTTTCATCTAACATACTTGAGTCACGGACCTTGGCATTCTCTGGCCAATGTTTTTTTCTCGATGCCCACGCGTGTAATTCAATCCACTGCCGAACAGTAACGTGACTTCTTTCAGGAATACGTGAGCTAAGTGATTCTATTTACTCCTGTTTGTAGTGTGGTTTTGTAGATTTGCATAATATACTGACGAAAGCTGTCTACCCGCAACGTTCACTTGTTTTATGAGTGTGCTATAATGTGAAGCTTACTAGGTCTATGTTTCGTTTGTTTGGTATCTTTTCTTCTATACTCCAACATTTCCACTTTCACCACGTACTTTATTTTTTCTTCTCACCACATGACCAATGAGAGCAGACCGTCCTATTCTCATTACAAGTCCTCATCGAGGGTTAATTTCTTTGACAAGCGTGTAGTGATGATTATCTTCCCAGCACTCCAGACAAATCCATAGGTACTCTGCTCTCCTGCTCAAAAGCTAACAAGTGGGAAGTGGCTGATAGCGCCTCTTCTGAGCTGGGTAATCAGCCACCTTGTCGCTTTGGTAAAATGTTCATTTCTTGCTGTTCCGGGTTGCAGCCCGATGTCCATCAGCCGGGACAGGGAAAGGGAGTATTCGTCTTCACGGTAAGTGCTGAGCATGGATTCGATAACCTCGCTTCTGTCCTGTAGTGGAGCAACCGCGGCGTCTTCAAGACAGTATGCATGCTCGTTGCCTCAAACGCCTACATAGTTCGGCACAATATATGTATATATTTATATTATTTCGTTATAATCATATTGCGTTTATATTAAAAGGTAATATAAATTCAGATTTCTTCAAGTCTTTAACATTGGCTGTAGATAGTAAAGAAAAGTAACTAAAGATTCCTTTTCACGCCTTTAGGCGCATAGGGCATATGGGAAGAGCACCCCATATTTTTTACAGACCAATCGGCACTGGGTGGGTAATGTGGTCAGCATTACGCCAGCCGTCTTTATTTCCCTAGGACATCCATCCTGGTACCCATTTCAGGCTGGGTCGACCGCGACGCCCCATACCATGATAAAAACTACGCAGCCAGCAGTGGGTTTCCATCGCGGTACGTTGGAATTACAAGTCAGACTCGCAACGCCTAAGCAGCGCTGCAGATAGACTGTGACTGAAAAGAAATCATTAATCTGTAGTAAATAAGGAACAAACATAAATCACAGGCTGTGATGTTTTACAGCGCAGACACTTCTAGGGGGGAAAAAAGAGATACAAAAATGAGACGTAAACTGGCCAAGTCATATGATTAGAGTAAACAAAAATACAGTTTTGCAGAAAGCGCTTTTGAAATTGCCACAGGAAAAAGTCAGCCAGATTTCCCTATGGAATAAAACATGTCTTATCAGACAAGGTATGACTTGCAAGCAAAAAGTGTTAAGGGGTATTCAATCACTCCAACTTTGACCTCAAACCCAGCATTTCTCAGCAACTCCATAATCTGTTGCTTACCCCAACAGGACCCCATCGCATGACTATCTTCCGTTTGGTAACTGTCAGGGATGCAGATGAACATGCTGACAGCATACAGACATCCCACGAAAAGATTGCCCCTGTCGCCAATGGGACTACCAGAGGGGGCCATGTCAATCATGGTGAAGGTACCCCCTGGTTTCAGCAGTTTTCTGATGTTCTTCAGCGCTTGTGGAGGGTTGGGTACGTGGTGGATGACGTGGGCGCAGTTCACCCAATCATATCGTTTACTGGAGGGAAATGTGGGACAACACAGATCTAGGAAATCGCATTTGATGTTGGGGACCCGGCCCAGGCTAGCTTTCAAGTCATCCAGGAGAGACTTGACGTTGTCTGATGCTGTGAAGGTGCTCCTGGGAAACATCTGAGCTAAGGTGGTCAACAGTCGGCCTTTTCCACAGCCAACTTCAAGGACGTCGATCCCGCTTTCTGTAGAGGGTGGTGAAATATAAATCGGAATTACAAACATAACATGGTGAGTGAGTCAGTGAATGACTGAGTGAGTAAGGGAGTGAGTGAGTGAGTGAGAAATTGAGTACGCTAGTGAGTGAGTAATGGATTGAGTGCGTTAGTGAGTGAGTGAGTGAGTGCGTTAGTAAGTGTGTGAAGAAGTGAGTAAGTGAGTGAGTAAGTGAGTGAGTGAGTGAGTGAGTGAGTGAGTGAGTGAGTGAGTGAGTGAGTGAGTGAGTGAGTGAGTGAGTGAGTGAGTGAGTGAGTGAGTGAGTGAGTGAGTGAGTGAGTGAGTGAGTGAGTGAGTGAGTGAGTGAGTGAGTGAGTGAGTGAGTGAGTAAGTGAGTGAGTGAATGAGTGAGTGAGTGAGGGAGGGAGTGAGTGAGTGAAAGAGGGAGGGAGCAAGTGAGTGAGTTAGTGAGTGAGCGAATAAGTGAGTGTGTTAGCGAGTGAGTATGGGAGTGAGTGTGTGAATGCGTTTGTGAGTGAGTGAGTGAGTGAGTGAGTGAGTGAGTGAGTGAGTGAGTGAGTGAGTGAGTGAGTGAGTGAGTGAGTGAGTGAGTGAGTGAGCGAGCGAGTGAGGTAGGTATGCAGTCAGGGAGCAAGAGAGGGAGTGAGTGAGCAAGTAAGTGAGTGAGTAAGTGAGTGAGTAAGTGAGTGAGTAAGTGAGTGAGTAAGCGAGTGAGTGAGGGAGTAAGTAAGTGAGTGAGTGAGTGAGCTAGTGAGGGAGGTATGGAGTTATGGAGCGAGAGAGGGAGTGAGTGAGTGAAAGTGAACCATACTAGGACCTCACACTCAGCCTGTGACACAAAGTACATGGCGTCATTTTTCGGACAACACTCCCACAGGTTAATTCCCCGAAACCCCGTTTAACCGTCAAGTTATAGAACGGCCCACTACGGTTAGGAAGTGGGGTCAAGTCTAGCCGAGTTGACGCTGTAACACCAGGAAATTGTTCCCTCTCAGAACGGGTGTGAACTGATTTAGAACTTAGTGAAAACTCACAATAACTTGTCTGCCGTCAACGGGCTGGCTATTGTTAGGGCTGCGTGAACAAGAGCAGGCAGACAAACATAAATGGTTCCTTCTTAGGACAAGTCAGTATCTTCAGATGAGAAGAAGAGAAGGAGAACAAACAAGCAATATCACGACAGAAAGTTGAATGTTGAATCAAGAATCGACCACACAACACATGGGATATTCCCATAACCACTCCGTGGCTCTCTTCAGCAGCAAGCGCAGAGTTCCGATTCTGATGGTACCTGTAACTGTCTGATTGTATATCCGGCTCGCCTTTTCCTTAAGTTTTGGGCATATCACGATTTAAAACAAGAAAACAAGCAGGGTTTAAATACCCTGTAAGTATTGTTAACATAAAAATAGTTAACGCTTTACTAAAGAATGTTGTACAATGATTTCCAAACGGTGCGTCGCGGCGCCCTGGGGAGCTGCGACCTCTTCACAGGGGCGCCACGAAATATTCGAAGATACACGAGTTTAATAGGTTTTTAAATCTCTTACAAACGAATAGTCATACTTTTACTTAGTTTAGGGAGCCGTGGAAACATTTTAATTGAAAAAAAAAAAAGGCGCCGCGACTAACAAAGTTTGGGACACACTGTTGTATAGGATCAATTTTTTTTTTTTTTTAAAGATTAAGTCAATGGAAGAAAGAAATTTCTTTGTTTTATCACTGCCAAATTGTTGAGCGGAAAAAGGGGGAGGGTGGGGGGGGGGGATGGGAGGAGGGCTATAGATGCCACAACTTATTGCCTTACCTAGTTTTGCCTTGAGTCCATCAACACATTTCAGTATTGTGCCCACGTAATCGTCAAACTGGCAGACACCCAGTTCCTCGACAGAATCGTAAGCTTCAGGTGTCATTCTGTAGCCTGCGTTTGAAACAAAACATACTCTATTACAAAAAAAGGAATGTTGAATGTTGAATTAGGAATCGACATCATAGCACTCGAGACCATCCCTTAAGGGCTCCATCCCCATCTTCAGCAGCAAACGAAGAGTTCCAATTCCGATTAACAAAATAAGAAGAGGTCAGTAGTGAAAATCACAGACAAACGAAAGATAAAACAAGCGCTATGTGTTTACCAGAAAGATAAAACAAGCGCTATGTATCAAACAGAAAGATAAAACAAGCTCTCTGTGTCAACTAGAAAGATAAAACAAGCGCAATGTAGCAACCAAAAAGATAAAACAAGCGCTTTGTGTCAACCAGAAAGATAAAACAAGCGCTCTGTGTCAATAAGAAAGATAAAACAAGCTCTATGTGTCAACCAGAAAGATAAAACAAGCGTTATGGGTCAACCGGAAAGATAAAACAAGCGCTATGTGTCAACCGGAAAGATAAAACAAGCTCTATGTATCAACCAGAAAGATAAAACAAGCTCTATGTATCAACCAGAAAGATAAAACAAGCTCTATGTATCAACCAGAAAGATAAAACAAGCGCTATGTATCAACCGGAAAGATAAAACAAGCGCTATGTATCAACCAGAAAGATAAAACAAGCGCTATGTATCAACCAGAAAGATAAAACAAGCTCTATGTATCAACCAGAAAGATAAAACAAGCGCTATGGGTCAACCAGAAAGATAAAACAAGCTCTATGTATCAACCAGAAAGATAAAACAAGCGCTATGTATCAACCAGAAAGATAAAACAAGCGCTATGTATCTACCGGAAAGATAAAACAAGCGCTATGTATCAACCGGAAAGATAAAACAAGCGCTATGTATCAACCGGAAAGATAAAACAAGCGCTATGTATCAACCAGAAAGATAAAACAAGCGCTATGTATCAACCAGAAAGATAAAACAAGCGCTATGGGTCAACCAGAAAGAAAAAACAAGCGCTATATGTCAACCAGAAAGATAAAACAAGCGCTATGTATCAACCAGAAAGATAAAACAAGCGCTATGGGTCAACCAGAAAGAAAAAACAAGCGCTATGTGTCAACCAGAAAGATAAAACAAGCGCTATGTATCAACCAGAAAGATAAAACAAGCGCTATGTATCAACCAGAAAGATAAAACAAGCGCTATGTATCAACCAGAAAGATAAAACAAGCGCTATGTATCAACCAGAAAGATAAAACAAGCGCTATGGGTCAACCAGAAAGAAAAAACAAGCGCTATGTATCAACCAGAAAGATAAAACAAGCGCTATGTATCAACCAGAAAGATAAAACAAGCGCTATGTATCAACCAGAAAGATAAAACAAGCGCTATGTATCAACCAGAAAGATAAAACAAGCGCTATGTATCAACCAGAAAGATAAAACAAGCGCTATGTATCAACCAGAAAGATAAAACAAGCGCTATGTATCAACCAGAAAGATAAAACAAGCGCTATGTATCAACCAGAAAGATAAAATAAGCGCTCTGTGTCAACCAGAAAGATAAAACAAGTGCTATGTATCAACCAGAAAGATAAAACAAGCTCTATGTGTCAACCAGAAAGATAAAACAAGCGCTATGGGTCAATGTGGTCGCTGGACGCTGGCCTGAATGCCCCATAAAAGTAAAGGACCCTTGTCCACACCCTTAGGTGCACTGAGCAAACAGGACTTCCTTCGACGCTCTCAGGCGTGTTGGTCATAAAGGACTAGATCTATGTTTTATAGACCAGTCGACTGTCGGCGGGGTGTGTGGTCAGCATCACGCCAACCGCCTTTACTTCCCATGACTAACTAATTATTCAATCCTACGTGGGACGCAATTTTTCGTTATTTTGAAGCCCCACACCGGCTATTGCCGGGGGTCGTAATATAACCTAACGGTTAAATGCGGTTTCTGGGACCTCTCCACGGGTGATCCTCATTCGCATGGTGGCACTTTGTGTCACCAGGTGTTTATCGCTCTGTGTGATGTCCTGGTGGGGTACAATTTACTTTCTTCCCATGACTTTACCAGGTACCTATGTAAGGCTGGATCGACTTGCGAGGCATGTGTACCAGAAAATGTCATTGGAATTAAAGGCGGATGGCGTGATGGTGACTGACTATATGACTACATCTCCCACTTAGTTAAAACAGTGTAGGTGTACCACTGTATTGCCAATGTGCTGATACGTGAAGAAGGTTTTTCACTTTCCCCAACTCACCATGTGTTCCCTTTCATGAATATAAGATGTAACAAAGGATGACAGACAAGAAATAGCAATCAACAAGAGAACAGAATTGATTTAAATTTTTTCAACAAATGTTTGACACTTAGAGAAGTTAACACTTTATCATCATCACAATCATCATTATCATCATCATTTTCGTTATCATCAACAGCCTGTTCAAAAGCTCCGATCGTCAACAGCCGCGGTTAAAGATCGCCAGATTGGTTTGATTTGATTCAAGAACCGACATCACAGCACTCGGGGCATTCCCATAAGCGCTCCGTCCCCATCTTCAGCAGCCAGCGAAGAGCTCCGATACTAATGGTGCCAGTAGCACTATGGTTAAACGTCCGTCTTGCCTTTCCTCTGAGCCTCGAGCATCTGCCAGAACCTTTCGTCATCCCCAACTGCATCAATCTCACCAGACTGTGGTGATCCATCTGCTGCTCCGAACTGTACAGGCTCTCCCACAAGGCACTAACCACGTCTGCCTTATCATGTATCAGTATTCCACCAAGTTGTGCAGAGCTAGCCAGTCTGTCCGCCTGTTCATTTCCCAACACACCGGCGTATCCCGGTAAAAAAAAATCCAGACAATACTCCTTAACCGTGTCCTCCGCAGCGAAGCATGCCACTCTGCATGAAGCATACCTGTTCTGATCTTCCTCAGCCTGCTTTCTGAGTCAGTTACAATCACGATGTGTGTGTGTGTGTCGTGTTCTCTAGCCAGTGGAAAGCTGCAGTGACTGCCTCCACCTCCATTCTTAAGCTGGATGTTGTGGTATCATATGCTAGGCTCTCCTGCACCAAACGTTGACCATTAACTTTTGCTAAGAAGCCCCAAGCACTTCTTTTGCCTCTTGACACTGAACCGTCTATGTAAATGATCAAATCTTCTGAGCAAGCATTATCTTGAATTAATTGCTGAATTTCCACCTCTGTGGCACCTGCTGGCCAGTCTCTGCATCGCCAGGTTGTGAAGAGACATGTTCTCCCATGCTTGTCGGCAAGGCACTCGATGATGATAAATATGTTAAAATCTTTGTCCAGGAAAAAAAAAACTATTTAAATGGCAGAAAAAATCAGATGAAGACTATAAACGCTATAGAAAAGCGAGAAGATAACAGCAAAAAAAAAAAAAAAAAAAGCGGAAGCGGCGAAATCAGAATCTATGGAGAACAAGTAGCAAAACTGTGCACTGAGTCACCAAGACAGTTTTACAGAAGTTTCGAAGCTAAAAGACCGAGAGAACAAAATATTCAACCATCCACTATTATTAAAGAGGAGGGTTGGAGAATTGACCTACTGCCCATCAACAAACGTCTATTGAAAAGGGATTAAATAGGAGTTTGATGAAATTGGACGTGTTGTACCAAATGGTGCAGATATTGTAACCAAGCTGTAAACCACAACGTAACATGCCACCCGTGCTGTTACAGATGAAAACAGACAAAGAAGCAGAAGAAGAAGCATCAAGACGAGGCGGAGAAGGAGAAGAAGAAATATTCTTCAACAACGGGGGATAAAGCAGCAAGTGTAAGAAACCACTCACCAACAGTCAGGATATTGAAAACTAATGGTTAGAATATTTCAGTGAGCTGTCAAACTGTGGAACATCGAGTGAAGTACCATACCAAAATAAATCTGCAAAAGACTATGAACTAAAGATCATGGAATCTAAAGTTGAAATTCCCTTAAACAACGTAAAATGAACAAGACACAAAGAATAGATGGTGTTACAACAGACATTCTCCCTGCGTATAGGACAACAGCTAGAGCTTGGTTGATCAGAATCTTGAACATAGCTTGGAAGGCATGGAAGATTCCAAGTGACTGACTGAGAGCAATTATTGTCCTCATTTGGAAGAATAAAGGGACAGACGAGTCTGTGATACATACAGGGACATCTCCATATTCAGCCATATTAGAAAGATGTTTGCAAAAACATATTGGAACTTGGAGCTCGACCAGTACTAAAGCATCAGTTAAGTAAGAAACAGTTCGATTTCAGAAGGGAAAGAGCTGTAAGTAAAATCAGTAAAGGGCCCTTCTCCACGACTTTAGGCAGTCAAGGGCATATAGGGCTAGACCTATATTTGATAAACCAGCGGCACAAGATCGGTAATGTGGTAAGCATCACGCCGGTCGCCTCTACTTCCCTGGACTGCACCCGGTACCCACTCAGGGCTGGGTCGACCTGAGAGCCAAGGTCATTTTTGAAAAGTCTGGATCCGCCAGGGAGCGAGCCCACAACCTTCTGATCAGCGGCGAGCGTCTATCCACTCGGCCACTGCGACTCCCGGAAAGAGCTGTACAAATGCAATATTTTGTTTAAGGCAGATAAGCGAGCAGTCTACTGAACATAGTAAAAGTCAACAGCTTATTTTTACAAATTAAAAAAAAAAAAGTATTTGTTCGAGTCAACAGATGCAAACTAAAGAAAATTTTAGAGGATTATGGCATTGAAAATCAACTGTTGGATAACATCATGGCTCTCTATCCAGACAGTCAGTGCACAGTGTAAACAACAGAAGGAAAGTCAGACCGTTTCCCATCTCATCAGGTGTCAGATACGGATGTTTCCTCTTACCATTGCTATTCATAACTTTTATGGATAGAATTTTAGGTCACTCACCGTATGGACCTGTATTGTGTAAACAAGACTTAATCGAATCGTAGATTTTTATCATGGAGATAGCATACGAAATGAAGGCCATTGGGTGGCTCTTGAATTCTTTCTTCCCATCCTCCGGGATCTGATAGACCAGAACGCCAGACTCGTCAGTAGATGCATGGATGATCTCAGCGGTGGCCAGGCAGTCAAGGAGCTCTCTAGCGTATCTGTAAGGGACACACACAATATCTTCTTTTGTTAAACACTTGTGAAAACATTGTCAAATCATTGTGGGCGATCAGTTTTAAATAATTCTGGGAGAGAGTTGTTAGACACTTGTCAAAACATTGTCAAATCATTGTGGGCGATCAGTTTTAAATAATTCTGGGAGAGAGTTGTTAGACACTTGTCAAAACATTGTCAAATAATTGTGGGCGATCAGTTTTAAATAATTCTGGGAGAGAGTTGTTAATTAAATCAGAGCCAGCATTATTAAATAAAACATTGTCAAAACATTGTCAAATAATTCTGGTTGAGAATTGTTAAATAAGTCTGTCAGAACACTGTTATCCTTGGTAAGCATTGTTAATTTGAATTCTGTTCGGTGCTTTATGAAATAACTCTGGGGAGAAAATTGGCGTATAATTTTTTAAATTCTAGTAACGTTTAAATATGATTCTGGGGGTAATGTAAAAGTAATTTAAAATTATTGCCTGCGAGCACTGTTGAATAGTTATGGTCGAGCAATACTAGATGATTGTGGGCGAGCATTGCGCTGAGATTCTTCAGACTTAGGCTTGAATTGGAAGTAGAACGGAGCACTTGTGGGTTGTACCCGTGTGCCAGGATGTTGCTCCGTCAAATAGACTTAAAAATAAGAAACATAAACATGGAATCCCTTGCATTCTTCTGATCAACCGCGTGTCTCTTATCTTTAATTCACGCTATTTGATTATTTTGGTACCAAATGTCGCAGAGAGCCACTCTGAAGAAATACAATAGATACAGAGCAATGGAAAGGCCAGACAGAATGTGGAAAGATAGCAACAACAACAGGAAATGAATACCAACTTATACAACGTATTATATGGAATCCGGTTCAGTGTCTTTGGCCTCTGTCATCAAATTTCGTCCTATGGCTTCTTTTGGAGTCTTCGTTTCATTAGTCCATTTCTGTCTCATGTTTTGTGCCTGTTTGGTGTTCTCTGTTCGCTTCTCCTCATGGTGTGCCCAGGGTGCCAAGTATCAACCAATCAATCAAATTTCTTGTACAGAATGTCGCTCACTTTACGGCAGGCATGAAAGTCCTCTCTAGCCAGTTGTCCAGCCCTGATTGCTTTCATTGCTAATGACTCTTCAAAGTCCTGTATCCAACTATGCGGAGTTCGACCGCTGCCTCGTTTACCAGAAACGGCACGCTCCATCACTATTATATCCAGACCGTCATAGCGCTTGCCATGTACCAAATGAGCTATGATTTGGGTTATCTTCATGGCACTTCGAACATGTCCATAGGTGCTTAGATTCCCCTCGACATATACATCAGCTTCTCGCAGTTGATAGTCCCAGTTCTATGTTGGTTGACCATACTTCTCGGGCTCCGGTGTGCTTCTCGTGCCTAGCTGTGTCGATATCTAATCCCGGTTCTTGCTATCATAGCAAAGATGTGGATGTGCTGCTCCCAAAATCCTCCAGACGTTCTGCCTCTCTAATGGCATCAACAATGTCTGCATGATCCATGGGCCGGCCCTCTGTAACTAAGGCAGAGCCGGCTAATCTGTCGGCTCTTTCATTGCCACCAACACTCCAATAAACCGAATATATCATCTTTCGGGAGTGAATGCTGCTGATGAGCCAGTTCTCCTTGATGTTCAGGCCACGCGTGATGTCGACGTGTTTCTTCTTCTTGATCCTCGGTATTCTAAGAATTTCTCTTCGGTCTATCTGCTCAAAAACTCTGATATTCTTCGTCAAAGACTGAGTGGAAGTCTGTGATTCATATCCATAAATTATCCAGGTAAAGATGCATAATCACAGAATGTTTACTTTAATATGCTTGCTAGTGATTTTCATTTCCTAATGGCCGTTCGTGACGCCATCGCCCTATCTATACCATAGGTTCTTTAAGCCGTCTAACCCAGTATATGATCTTATATTTCGTACACTTTTAATTATTCTGCTTCTTCTTCGGCGTTCCGAGCCCTTGAGATTCATTGCTGCAGATATCACCCGTCTCTATTCATCTCTCTGGTTGGCCTTCTGTTTCCTGTTGGTGACACCAAGTGATTGCAGGTCTGTCTGGACATTATCTCTCTATCGTCTTCTTGATCTCCCTCGTGGTCTACGACCATTCAGCTCCCTTGTGTATACAGTGTTTAACCTCTCTGTCATTTGACATTTCCTGAGTATGTCCAAGCCATTTCAGTCTAATATCTTTAAGCTGTTTACATAAAAACTGTGCGAATTAGTAAACAAACACCCACACATACCTTTCCTTCAAATCTTTTTCGGCTGCAATCTGGAGAGACGTCAGGGGTTTCCGAGCATCTAGCAGAACTTGCAAGATTCCCACATCTTTGGATAAACACAGACATAAACCAACGTGGGTAGAGTTGACAATATTGTCCAGTTTATTTCTGTATTCTGACACCTTTGCCATGTTGTGTTCGACTACAATGAAACC